TTCATATCTACCTACTTCTATCTTGATTCTTTTGTATTATTATTTGAAAGGGACTTAGTAGGCTTATAACACTTAAGAACTTCAGAATAAGTCACTCATTCTATTGGACACCATTCAATACTCCTTATTCTAGCATAACTCCTAAAACATAACACTCAATACATTTTTGATAATTTTCCAGTTTTAGATGTTCAATTCTAAATTTTATTTATAAGGAAATAAACTTTCCCTTACCTTTGTCAATAATCCCATAGCAAATATTTTCTGTTACTGCATTAAATATGTACATTTTTAAAAACATTCTCAAATTTATTAATTGTCATTTCCTTTTTGTGTTAAATATACAGATTGACTTATCCATCCAGTGAGTAAGCATTCATTCTGCTAAACTGACTGGATATAATTCAATTTTTCTTACAGGATAAGAAAAGACTTCCAAGTCATCTGTAGCTATTGGGTAAGAAAATGTTAAACAATAAAGAAAATAAATTAAATATTTTAGTAAGATATTTTAGAACATTATAATTTATTTTTGCTGGAAAATATTATGTTCATATTATTATATATACTTATATTTTATATACATTTATTAATATATATGAAATCTAAAAACTATTAATAAAAATCATGAGAATTTCCAGAGAAAATGCTGAAAATGAAACATGCCAAGAGTTCTAGTATAATATTTGTAATCATACCTCACAATTAACTTTCCTGTCAATTACCTGGCTACTTCAGACAAAAGTTTTAGAGATATAAATGTAGTATATCATTATTTCCCCAGATCCATCTTGCCAACAGGATCTGTTTTTTTTTTTTTCCCAAATAAAATTGTACACAAAAACCAAATTTAATTCAATTAATATCAGGGCTGCTCAGGGAGAAGTAGACATGGGGGATGGAGGGAACTAAGAGACATATTCCTTTCTGTCTCCTGCTCACCCACTGCTGGGCACTTTGAAGCAACTAAGCTTCCAGGAAATGCATCATCAAAACTAATAGACCAACTAAATAGTTTTTATTTATTCTTACCCTTTAAACAGATAGACATATGTCAAACTATCTGTGATTTGTTACTAAGTAACCTTTGACTTAGTAAGAACAATTTGGTGGATATATTAATTTCATAGAGAAAATTTAGGTGTCATGCTAATAATCCCAATACTTTAGGGATATTTCACAAGAACTTCCCCTAATGACTGTACCTAATGTTACCTATTTCATGTCTCTTTCTCTTACCAATGTCTTTGGCAGCTGAGTATGCATTTTATATACAATAAGATAAATTGCTACAAAATCAATGTGGCTGTTTATAAATTAAAACATTGGGCCATATGCCTGATAAAAGTTCTCAGGATATAAAAATATAAGTTCCAGAGTCATATATGAAATAACATAAGGGGGGGAGACAATAATACAAAAGATAACTAAAAAAGTAACTTTTAGTAAATGAAAGAATGGAATGGAATAATCAATTTATGAGGATAATATTGTGGCTCTAAATATGTTGAGAGAGACACTTAAGATTTCAAAATTCTAACAAAATGGTTAATATAATATCACTGCACTCAATTATCCTTTAGCACAGTGCAATGGATCACATTATGCTATCATCTATGCAACCGTTATTAGTAACTAAGCAGAATATAGCATTAAATAGAGACAGTTAAAGTTTCTGAAGAATTATTTATCATCATGTGATAACTGCCTTATTTCTATAGTTACCCTACATTAACAACAAAGACAAAGTATTGACAACCACAATTCCTTCAAGGTCTAAATTAGAGCAAACATAGATTATGAGTTCATTAGAAATGGGATGGACAAATAAAACAGAGTGCCAAGATCAAATAGATTGCTCCATCTAAGCTTTATTCCAATATATTTTGTCTCACTTCTATTAATGCTTTTATCCAAAAATCTCAACTCACTTTGAAAATTTGCTTTGATCATTTTATCTTATCACCTTGATCAAGTTAGAGTACAAAACTACTGTTAGAGGCAAGGACCCTCAAAGACCCTCAACTCCCCTATGACTCGTCCTACGCACGGACTTCGCCCTGGAAAATTCCATCTATAGCTCCGAGAAGAATGCATTCCATGACGTGCTGACCATGGATGCTCCAGGGAGTGCTGACTGCAATTGTTCCCGACCACCTGCCAGGTTGGAGATGAGTAACCAGTCAAAAACAGGATACCGATAAGACGCTGATTGGGGCTGATTAACCCAGACCCAAGCCTCATCGTTGCCCCACTCTATTTTTTGTTTCTACTTCCTTGTTTCTATATGCTTATAAAACCTACTAAGAATCTAAGTAAAGCAGACCTTGACAACCATTTGCTTGGTCTCGTTCCTTTCTCTCGCCCATCTCTTTCAGGCAAGGTCCCCCTTGACCCCCGCGAGTAACAGAAGGTCCCGCGGGTCGGGACAAACTAAATGGCCTCTGGACATAGGGATGGAAGGAAACTGTAATCTTGCTTAAAAAAGGTAAGGTGTGGCTGAATATGGCTGATTTAGCACCACATTTATCACTGCTCTCTCTGAAAATCCATTAAAATTATCATAAAGCCATTAATCCTAAGGCAAAAGACAATGGCAGGAAACAGTGGCGATATTTTGAAAGCTGGATATCAGAGGAAAGTGTGCTCATTCATTAGCAGATCTGAGAAAATCGAATACTAAGCCAGCCCTGGGGAACCTTAGAACAACCCTACTTTCACTACAAAATCCCCAAAGCTGCAGGATTTGAGATCACTTTTTTTCTGGAGGAAAGGAAAGAGGTGAGGTTTAAAAAAGATAATTTGTTGAAACTCCATTTAAAAAGCAGTTAGACCTCCAGGTTCATTCATGTTGTCATAAATGACAGATTTCCCTTCTTTTTAAAGGCTGAATAGTATTCCATCATATGCATATACCACATTTTCTTTATCGATGTGTCCATTGATACACTTTGGTTGCTTCCATATCACAGTCATTATGAATAATGCTGCAATAAGCGCGGGAGTATAGATATCCCTTAGACATACTGATTTTGATTCCTTTAGATATATATACAGTAAGAGGATCACTGAATCGTATGATAATTCTATTTTTAGTTTTTTGAAGAACCTTCATACTGTTTTCCAAATTGGCTGTAACAATTTAGTTTCCCTCCAGAGCAGAAAGACAAATACTATTCAGGGATCCCCAACGTTTTTGGCACCAGGGACTGGTTTCAGGGAAGACAGCTTTTCCATGGGATGGGGTTGGGGGCTTGGGGGTGGCGGAGGAGCTCAGTTCATGATGTAAGAGATGGGGAGGGGAGCGGCTGTAAATACAAATGAAGCTTTGCTCTCCTGCTGTGCACCCCCACCCCCACCCACCATCCCCCATCCCCCACCTGTTCCTAAGTTTTATGGAAGATAATTTTTCCACAGACGAATGGGAGCATGCAGTGGGAAACACTGCAGCTCGGTCCCTAATAAGCCAGGGGCTGGGGACCACAGTACTAGATGCTCTCAATTGTAAGTGGAATCGATCTCATAGGAACAGATACTACAGGGGTGGTTCCAAAGGCTGAGGGGAGTAGGAGGATGAAGACAGGGAAGATGTTGGTTAAAGGGTACAAAACTTCAGTTACAAGGAGGAATCAATTTTAATGATCTATTTCACAGCATAGTGGCAACAGTTAATAATAACGGATTGTGCCTTTCAAAATTGTTAAAAGAGTAGAATTCAAACCTTCTCACCACAACAACGTGGTAAGTTAGTGAGGTGCTAGATATGTTCATTAGCTTGATTCAGTCTTTCCAAAATATACACACATACCAAAACATCACATTGTACCCCGTAAATATATACAATTATCATTTGTCAATCAAATTAATTATTATTTTTTTTAAAAGCAGACCACAAGGTCCTCTGTCCCACCCAAAATTGCAGGCTTCTAGAGGTTTGTTTTCAGAAGAAGGCAAAAGTCCAGTCTTTGGACAGACATGGCTGGTTGAGAGCACTGTGCACTCGAGGAATTATGGGAAACTGGCATTCCCATGCCAGCTGTTACAGTTATTCCCTCTCTGGTTGTGTCCTACCAGATCAACAGCCTCTGCCTAGAGACTGGAGCCCCAAGAGTCTGCACTGTTGAGAACAATCAGATTCAATTGTTCCCTCAGCATCCTACTGCCAAGCAGGCTCTGCTTTGCCCCTCCATGGGGAATTCTAATGGCTGGCCCACAAGGCTGCTACTGTCTGCCTTCTGTTGGGGGTTTTGACAGGGTTCTTTTAGGATCTATATAGATGCTTATGCATGGAAAATTTGTCCTGAGTCTACCATCTGGCTAACCCTGACAGATCAAAGTAAATATTAGGGAAAAAATGAACAATACAGAGTGTAGGGCTTTACGTAGAGAAAAGAGAATGTCAAAAACCCAATGTTATGTCTCAGTTCATTATGATATAAAATGTGAAGCAATGGAAAGAACCAAAGAGTGGCAATAAAGAGAAAAAGACCTGAGTTCCAATTTCAGTTCCAGCTAACCCTGTGACCTTAGACAGTCCTTAAACATTTGTTTTGTGGAAGATAGCTTGCTACTCATTTTTGCCCGAATGGTCTGAAATCAGAAAACAGAGGTGCTAGGAAAATGGATGGTGATCCTTTGAGAATTCTGTAAGAACCGAAAATAAAAAATAAAAGTAAAGAGAAGATATGGTTTTATATGTTTTGCAAATGGTGGGAAATAAACTAATAAATAATGAAAAGAGGCAAACAGAACAGAAAAGAGGCATAAATTTAGGCCAATGGTGAACAGAGAGACAATATCTGTAATAAGGTAAAGTTGAGACAATCTTTTTATTTGTAAGTGTCTCACGGATACTGAGAAAAACACCTTTCCCAAAGGATTTGTCTATGTTGCAGGGATAAAAAGTATAAAATTAGGCCCCAGACCACAGGCCACTTAACTGATTCTTCCTAACACCCAAGTGTGCAGACCAAATGATAAAAAGGCCTTTGTCTTCTCTCTTTTTTTTTCCTTATTGAGGTGAAATTCGCATGACATGTGGACATGTTGTCTTCTTGAGTCACTTTAGGAGGAAAAAGGGAAGGAAATATTGGCTTCCAAAGGTCTCTACTGGGTCCATGGCAAGTAGTGGGGGAGGATAAGAGGGTGATGATAAATAACAATAAATAACACTGGGAAAATATGATTCAGAAAACAGGGAAAAAGTTATGATACCCGTCCGTGAATGTAATGATGATGATTAAGTGGGGTGATTCCCAATGCTGGCCTCATCCAAGGCTTGTGCAGGACCAGAGGCAGGAGAATCCCCTGGGAATTTGCTGAAATAAAGCTCCCCAGGTTCTGTCCCTGAAGACTCTGTTACTGAGATGGGGCCCTGGAATATGTGCTTTTCAAAATCTCCTTATGTGGTCCTGATACACACATTTAAGAATTTCTAGGGCAGTCAGGCAAAATGTTGCTTCCTCTTGGGGCAACTGTTGGCGGAGAATAGTCACCGAAAGAGCCCAGAAGAAAAGCTCAATTCAAGGTGTAAACTGGAAAAGGCACAGCCCTGGGTTGATGCTGACAGCAGCATCCAAACTGGCAAGGTTGGTGGAAACTGAAGTCAGCAATTAAGCTGTTAAGAAAGAGGATTTTTGAATAATCTGCGAGACTGGATATTTTAGTTCTGGCGCTTGCCAGCACAGTCCTTCCAAGGATGATAAATTGTCTTTTTACAAATGAGGGAGTAGATGTGTAGGAAGAGGTGTGTTTGAGGGCAGCGAGGGTGAAAGTTAGAAGGTTTGAAAAAACAGCTTCCCTTCCATTAGTATCTCTCGCAGTGCGAGGTGCTGGTTCAGATTTGCTTGTCTATTTCTAACTGATGCAAAGATGGGATTAGCCATTCGGCTTCAGGAGTCTGCCCCAACATTGTGGATGTCCGGGTTGTGTAACACACAACTCAGTAAGACTTCCTGGAGGATATTTCACTTGGTGGTTTCTTTCAAAAGCATTCAACCCCATTCTCAAAAAAGACAACCCATTTTAAGCCCATGCTCTATTAAATCAACTCGTGATCTGATCCACTGATTTATTGCATCAGGTGTTCCCAACCTTATCTGCTTATAAGAATCACCTGGGAGGTACTTGCTAAGCTTGGAGACCAAAACCCCCTCTGCAAGGGACTGTGATTCTCCCCGGGCCAGGACTCTGGGGACAGAGCACTTAATTTTCAAAGTTGAACCGTATAACCCTTCTGTTGGTTTATCTCTTTAGTTATATATGCAAACTCTTCTCTGCCATTTAGAAAGTAATGATTTCAGTAATTTCCAAAGTCCCCAGTCCAGCCTGCAGAATGCCACAGGAACTAAAAATAGTGCAGCTCCTCCTAGCCCCTCAGACACATCTCCAAGAACTTGTGCCCAAACAGGTCAGTCTGTAGTGGCAGAAATAAAAATGAGCTTCTTGGTGGAGCTTTTGCTACTGAAAAGCAAGCAAGTGGCATGCTTTGTATCATCCTCCATCTCTACTAATAGTTACTGGGATCATTTCAGGCCTTTCTAGAAAGAATTGATATGGGCCTCTGCCAGGGCCTTAAATAAAGCTTTAACTATAGAGAAAAGTCTGGGAGCTGCAAAGTGAGGCATGAGGAAGCCAAGCATAATTAACCTTAATTTACTTACTGTTTTATCAGGTAGTAGAGCAGAGAAAAAAGATGAATCATTTTGTTCCAAAACATGGGACTCAATGGACTCAAAACATATGGTTATGTTGCTTTCTATAATTATTATTAGCATTATTATTATTATTTTTAGGAGAAGAGGAGGATGAGAGAGGGATTTATTTACAGCCTCTGACATGCCAGGCTACATATACTAGATACTGGGAATTGTCATTCCTGGTCATGGAAGGTAAATTCAGTAGAGAAACAGACAATAACAATACAAACAAAGACATGATATAATTTTGGAGTGTGGCAGGTACTATAGAAGAATTAAAATACACTGATGTAGTCAAGAGCAACATATTTGGGCTGAAAATTGGAGAGGAAGGAACCTTCCATGCAAAGTTTGAGAGAGAACATTCCACTAAGCGAGAGAGTATGTCAAAGTTGCTGAAGCAGCAAACAGCCTGGTGTCTGTGAGGCATGGAGGAATGTCCCTGCCAGTGAAACACTCAGTTCTTTGAGTGTAACAATTTTTCTAAATGAATCAAGAGAAATACTTCTGGGGGTTCAAGGCAGAATCAGGCCCAAGCAAGGGAGCTTATCTTTGGAACAAGAAATCCTGAGTTCTGATCTTCCTACATACTTTGTTAACTCAAAAAAACACTTTATCCAGGTTCATTGGTTTAGTGGGGGAAAGGAGCCTGCAGTTCCCCCTGACAATTCTGGGAGGTACCTTTACATACCAGTAAGCCTCTTCCAAGATCAACTGAAGGCTGGTGCTGTCCAGACTGACAGAACCACTACAGCCACACTTGGAAGCCAACCCTATCAACAATCCCTGCCCCTTGACTAGGTCAAAGGCAGCCCTTTACTCTCCCATCACATTGCTTGCTCCTTCTCATCACGTTGACTGATATTGTGTGATCCAGAACCAGCTTTCAAGGACTCAGTGACCAGTTTGTTTGATAAGGAGAGAAACTAGCTAGAATTCTAAGGATGGAACTTAATTTTGCAGTAGAAGCAGATTTTTATTTCTATCTCCTGTTTCATTCGATAGATTTTTTTTTTTCATTCTATTACCAAAAAGAGATCATTCTAGAAGTCTGGTGTGAATTAACAATGATGTCCAACCAAAGGGTTGCCAAGAGATTACCAGATCCTGCTTGAGAGTTTAGAAGCAGCACCACTCTAAACACCAAATGTTCCCAATTACCATGTTTCCTTCTTCCTCATTAGTCCTGGCTTGAAGCAGCCAAGTTCCAGCCCCAACTCTTCAGGAAACCCCACAGCCACCCCCGCCACCACAATCCCAGGCCTGTCCTCCAAGCCTGTCCAGTCAGTTCTGACAGTCCCTTGCTCCCTTATCACATCTCCAGTACTCTCTTCAATTTCTTTAAACCATTTTGTAACCTATATCTAATAACTGCAAATCTATAGCCCTTATAGGACTAATCTCTGGTCGGTTGGTTTTGTCAGCTCTCATTCATGCTGGCTTGTTTGAGTTTGCTTTTATTGATTCTGGAATGTCAACTTTAGTTCCTTGTAATGTTATCTTTGGAAATTCTTTGAGGCCTGAGTTGAAAGTGTGTTCCTCTGGAGAGCACTGGTATTTGCTTCTACCAGGTACCTGGCAACCCGCCACTCAGAATACCTTTAAAAGAAATTCTGAATAAACTTTAGGTCATTCTGGAACATAGTTTCTGGCCCTGATACTGAGTATCTGTGGGCTTGTGGTCAAAAATTCTTGGAGGAAGAGGTGTTTTTTGTTTGTTTGTTTGTTTTCCTGTTCTTTAAAGACCAAGACATCACATATTCCAAATTTTACTATTTATAGGAAAGTTTTATTTTCTTAGCTCATACCCTAATGGTGTCATGCCATCTGGGTTTCCAGGCTTTATGCTAAGGTCCCTAATCTTACTGGCCATCCTGGTGAGTCACCAAGTCACTGGGCTTTGTGTCCTGTTCTTTGCACATATGCCCTATTTAAAAGCCTGGTCTAGGCCATGAGAAATCTGCAGGCCCATTTTTAGTTACTTTCTTGTCATGTCTTTTATCTTAGCAATTCCTTTACATCCCTGCGAGTTCATCCATGCATTCAAAAGAAATTTTAAGAATTTCACCAGGCACGCAGTTGGTGGAAGGAAGAAAGGGAGGGAGGGAAAGAAGAGCAAATGTGGGAGGTGTGAATAGAAGGAGATAGAAGTATTATTGATTTCTCGGTGATATTTTTCCACTGTATGGAAGTCAATAGTGAGGCCCTAGAGTTGTTGTGACCTTCCGTGCTCAGACTAAAGTTATTACAGAAGACTGGGGGCCTCATTTTGATGGCAAGGCTGTTTTCCCAAAATCTTCCTGCACAAGTGATTGCTGGTCAGTGGCCTCACCTTTCCTCATTGGCTATATCTCTAGACCATGTAATAAGTTTATTGCTGGATCCATGTTAACTTTTAGGAGATCCCAATAAGAGGAGGATCAACAGAGGAGTTCCAGGCCTGTGCAGACACATCCAACAAAGCTTTTTCTCTCCCCTTTATCTATACTCCTTAACTCTGAAAAGACCTCAGTGACCTTTACAGTATAGGGTTTTTATCTGAGGTTAATAAAATATGATATTGAAGCAGGAGCACTGTAAAGAACAAAGAAACAAACATGAGGTTCCTTTGGCACTGAGCTTTCTGACTGCCATCATGTCATTTGATCTGCAGGTACCTCCCCAAAGTGGATTCTTCTATTGCCATTTCACAGCTGAGAAAGTTGAGGCTCAGGGAGTCTCTCTAACTTGTCTAAGGTCAGGTCACTTCCAAATAATAAAACTGGAATTTGAACCTAGGTATAAATGGCAACAAAGCACAGGCTTGTAACCACTGCCAAAATATCCACAGTGGAGAGTTGGGGTGGGGGGTGGTCACAAAGGAAAGGCCCTTCTTCTTGCCAAGGAGGTGGTGTATGAGATTTCATTGAGAGCTGACTTGATGCAAAGGAAACAAATCTAATTAGACAAATCTAATTCCTTGATGCAAAGGAATACCTTGATGCAAAAAACAATGCAATTCCTTGATGCAAAAAACAAATCTAATTCCTTGATGCAAAGGAAACAAATCTAACTGTCCTGGCATTCTGTGAGTAAACCATTTAATTGTATGTCACAAGCTGATAATAAACAATACCAAACAGGTATGGCATGCCACAGTTTTCAGAGGGCCTAAGTCTCCCCCCTTGGATAACCAGCCTACACCTTGGGTCCTTTAAGACTCAAGCAGATCTTCTACGTTTCCACGGGGCCTGGGTGTTACCTACACCCATGCTCCATAGCTGTAGCAGGTACTGTGTCCAGATCACCCAGTTCTGGATCTCCTCATGCCCAGCAGTTTTATTGGGCCCTCCTCACACTTGCTCTATGGGACTCTTGAACCTGATATAATGTCTCTCACACTCTCATCCTCATTATTGTCCCCAGAGAAGATTTCCTGCCAGCATGACTGGACATTCTCCTGCCACCTGTGCCTGAGTTGGTGGCACCCAAGATGTCTCCACAATATCCCTTGGCTTTCTAAGATTCCGGTACAGCAAACACAGTTGAGCACCATTAGAAAATGAATATGATAATAATAGTATAAGAAGAAGGAAAGCAAGAAAAAACTTAAAAGATTGTCACCCTGTACTAGTCCCAGAGTATCTCTGGGAGTTACAGTGAAATCTACCTGCAAATGCAAGCAAACGTGATTGAAAATGCCACGATGCAAGGGCAGAAGTCTAAAGCACTATCCAAAAGACTCCCACTCCAACTATGCATATTATCTTTGGAAGAGAAGATTCAAAGGACAATTTTTCACCTCAGGGAAGAAGTTGGTAACCTAGTCGTGCTCTTTCCATGTCTGAGCAAGGAATATCAACTAAAGAAGAATTTAAAAACAGCCTCTTCACATGGAAGCAAAAGTTTTATATGGGAAGCATAATTGTACAGATGAATTTGAAGCTCAAAATTAGCAGAGATGAGGGCACTGAATATATTTAAAGACAGGGAACAGAAAAGAGGAGAGGAAAAGATACAAATAAGGAAAAGGCAAGGAAAACCTTCTCACCACAGGCACCAAATTTGGGATATTGGGAATCTTTCCCTTGAATGAAGCCACCAATCTCATTAAGGTAACTTTTAATTGCTCATTAGAATGGACAGCCATTATGGAGAGCTATGGGCAACTAGGTCACAGATGGCCCACAAATATTTTTAAACATTACTTTCTATTCTGTTTTAAGCCAAACCTTTTGGTAGAGGAAGTTATACTTAGTCAAGCTGACTTTTGTGAATTTCACCACCGCATTTATATAATAATAACAGGAAAGAGAGACAAGGTAAGACATAGATAATACTGGAAACAAATTTTATGTTTAATCAGCAAAACCTTCTTCTTAAGTGACAAAAACTACTAGGTTGTTTCTCCTCTTTCCCATCCGGGAGCAATGTGTCAGAATAATAATTCCTATGATAAGTTATCTTTCTGATGACATTCCCTGCAGCAACTTTCAATCCTTCTCTGGAATTCTAGATCAAAGCCAAGTATTGAACTTGCCCACTAGTTCTTCTTGGTCTCTCTTAACAGTACTACATATAGCCAACTTAGAGAATTCTCAAAAGTGAAAATCAAATCTGTGTCCTCACTCTTTTCTCATTTTGTTCCTCAGTCATGCTTCCGGTCTAAATCAGAACTCTATACTTACACTGCCAACACAAAAAGTCGTCTCTACTTATCTTTTCCAATACTCTTCTCTCACAATATACTCAAAATGGATTGCTTCTAAAATCATTACCACATATTCATATAATAAAATGCTATGCAGCCAGTAAACATGAAGTTGGATAATGTTTATTGATAAGGCAACATATTCACAATATATTGAGTAAAGAAAATAGGGTACAAAATCATTTACAATATGAGTTCATTTTTGTCCAAAAGTCAGGGCATTAACATATGTGTATCTGTATATAAATATACCACTCCTATATGCTCAAAAACATTGCAAAGATGATATATACCAAATTATTACCAATGATTATTTTTAAGGGATGAGATTATAAATTATTTTTACTTCTTTCTTTGATATTTATCATTTACAATGAAAATGTATTTCCTTCACACTATAAAAAGTAAAAAACAATGTAAAAGTCACTATTTTCAGGGATCTGGTGGCCCTATCACTTCCTGTATTCCTCATACACGGTTGTGGAACAGTATGCCAGAGCCTTGCAGTGGTACAAGCCTCAGAATCGGGGTGGAAATAACCTTTTTTAGATTATCTCCTATCATTTAGACTCTGTTTCTGTTCTCAGGTCCTCACAAGTGGGCTCCTCCGGGAACACTTCTTATGTCAAATTCTACTCTAGAACAAAGGCTACGACAATAACATTTCAGATACTTATGTGTATGTGTTCCCAAATCAGTATGTCTTCATGTGCTTTTAACACCTGCATAACATTCAAGGTTATAAAGTATTAACGCCAGGGATCCACTGAGATGCTTCAAGGGGTGTGCAAAAGGTTAGACCCAAATATATTTTTTAAATATATTTTTGAAAAATTTTTAAAAATACAGTTAAAAAATAACCCACCACATTTTCTTAACATAGAGACCAGTAAGTCATTACTTTTCACCACCAGGATTGAGTAAACACTTAAACTTTAATTGTATGATTGTTTTTTAAAAAAATGTAGTTCTGCATTAGTCTTTAAAAAAATTTAGAGCTACACAGAGAGTCTATGCATAGAAAATTGAACCAGGTTGTATAGCAGCACAAGTCACAAAAAAGTACAGGCACTTCTGTTCATTGCATATTCTCATCAAGGCCTAACAGTGAATTGTACACAAAGAGTAACAGTTCCATGAGTGTCCTTATTGTTCTGTACTTACAGTTTTAGTACCTACAATAAATATTAATTTTTCTCCTTATCATTCTGCATTACAGTTTAATACTTAGGATAAGTATTATATTTTTATTGTTTTATACTTGTAAGAATGTGAACCATACTTGGACATTTTTGGTGATACGACTTTGAAACAAAATTTTTCTATTTAACTCCCCTTTCAAATGCAATCTGTGTAGCAGAGTATCCAGTCATTGCCAAGTAAGCTATTTACAAATTGTTACATCTGAGTAAATCAGAATTTTCTGTGCAACCCAAACCAAATGAAGATGTCTTATTAGTTGCAGCTGATATGCCTACAACTGTCATTCAAAATGTAAATGTCTATTTCATGTTCCTGAAGTAAACACATTCTTCTCATTAGTCACTTTATAAGCAAATTTTGTTTAAAACAGAGTCAGAATTTGGATACTTTACTCCACTTATCCTGCTATCGCCTGATCCAAGAGACTATCCTCCCAGGAATTAATCTGGGGCCAAGAGCCTCTACATTTGTCCTGCTTTCACCTTTTTTTTTTTTTTTTTTTAACCTTTACATCCTGTTCTTAATACCTGAGGCCTGGCATTTTCTGTCTAACATTCTCTAGCGGTCTCCCATTCCATTAGAATGAAAGTCAGATTCTGTATAATGGTACCATGCAGACCCCATCTCCTCCTGCCTGGCTACTCACTCAGAACAGCCACTCCGGCTCCCTGTGGTTCCTCAAACACACCAGGTACCTGCTCACAGCGTGGCTCTTGACCTTGAGGGTCTTTCCACTTCTAAGGCTCTTTGCTCCTTCATCTCCAAAAGTTCTTTCATCTAAAGTCATCTCAGCACACCCTTCCCAGGCCATCCTTAATTACAGCAATACCCCATGTTCCCTGCCTCTCAGGTTTTATATTTCCTCTTTGCACTGATCACCACCTGAAATAACTGTTGCTCAAATCACTTATGTCTTTATTATTAATCTCTCTCTCATCACCGGAGTATAAGCTCCATGAGAGCAAAGAATTTTGTCTGTTTTGCTCACTTCTGTATCCCCAGAAGCCTGGACCAATGCCTGGCACAAAGCAGCCAGGCAGGTAATACACATTTGCTGAATTAATAAAATATTCTAAATTTGAATCCATCACAAAATTCTTACAATAAAAGACTATATTTAGTTATATACTATCATAGGGTCATTTTTAAGATTTTTCTTTTGATGGAAAAAAATAATCTTACTGGCACAAAAAGAAGGCCATATAAAATTATAAGTTTCAGAGCGAAGTTTATATGTTCATTATAATTTGGAACTATTTATGGTACTCAGCATAATACTCCAACATCCACACTTGATGGCACTATTCCAAATTAACATTTATACACCACACATTCTTTTGAATAAGAGTCTCTCACTACCCATTAGTCTCCATATGTATATAATAATGATATTCTATTTAAAGGAGGATTATTTTTAAGAATCTTTTTGCTTTGGGTTATATCTTAAACTTGATAAAACAACTTAAGGCCAGCCAAGGCTTTTCTAAAACAATTCCAACCATCTTTTCTGCCACTGCTACGCTCTGCGATCATAATTTTCACCACATGCATCTGTTTCCCCAGACCCAGCCATTTTTTCACACTGGTTTCTCTTAACTGCACATTTTTGTTACATCTTTCACACATACATCTATTAATTTGGATACACTTTTATGGAAATATCTAAAATGTGACTGATATCTTACTGAGCTCAGTGTGACCCACATGGCTAAAGTATGGCCCATGCCCCATGAAGACTACCTTTTCCTAATCATTCAGTATATTATAAAGCTTCTCTCCATAACCTCCTCTTCCTCCCTTCCATACCACTTGGCGTGTACATGGTTTTAGAATAGCTGTGGCTACAAGTGAGCATTAAAAGTTGAATGCTCATCAGAGACTGATCAGAAGAATTTTAGAATCCAGAAATGTCAGTTATGCCAATTTTTAAATCTTTCCTTTTCAGTTTCATGACTTTTTTATCCTAGTGGTATTGCCTAGCAAAATGTGCGGGGTGATAATTTGATAACACCTTTATTCCCAGAGCTTGAAAATTGAAAAAGAAGTATCTTATAACATCTCAGGAATGACTGACTAATTTAGTGGGTTGCTGTTAACTACAACATAATTTTCTGTAAAGGCATAGATGTGTATGTCTTTTTGTATTAATATTAATATATGCTATATAAAAATAAATATAAATTGAGTTTGTGGCAGTAGAAATGAGCACAAAGGACAGGGATTATGGAAGTGGTTCTACACTGAAATCACCAAAGAAGTGTGAAGTTCAACTATATTTTATATAGTTTATATAAAAATTTATATAAAAATCAAATAGGATTTGTTTTATATCAGGCTTTGATCCTGATGGTTCAATGTGGAAAGAATTTGTTCACACTGAATTTAAGCACTATACTCATATATATATTGTCTGTAACTATGTCAAAATAGAAACTAAGATTTCAATAAAAGTACAAAACATTCCTGCATCACAAGGCTGTGATCAGAAAAACAATCGCCTGGAGTCGATAAAATATAAAAATCCATCAGCTCTGCTGATCTGTAGGAGTTTACACTAAAAGAAAAAACTTCTACTTGGCAGGATTCTAAACATCAAACTGAAAATTACATGTCACATCTCGATCAAATCTCCTTTAATCACATTCAGTGATTTCTATCCACAGGCACATACTTTTTTGGTCTGATTTATTTATATTGAGATCTTAACCAGCACTGCTATCTCTGTAGTTTCTACTTCTTTCTTTGCCAATACTTAATCCTTGATAGAAATACCAGCATTCCTTAATGCAAAACCAAATTCCACATATAAGTAATTAGCCCTTTGCTATTTTGTTAAAAACAACTACAAATAAACAGAATCCCAGATTTTATACACATTCTTTTTTGACAATTCTGCTATTCGAAAGATTCAGTAAGGTGGGAGAGCCTAGTGATCAGCATTTCTAGCTGCACCCTACATAATACCCACAGACCCAAATCACAGAAAAGGTTAGCCATCTAGCATCCTATAGAGAAGTCCTCATAAGCAGCTGGGTACCACGTGGCGCGTCCACTTTATTGTTTGTGTGCTGAAAATGGGCAAGTCTTCCAAAATCAAAGAATCTGAAGGTGCATGGAAAGGAAGCAGAGTTTGGTTTTTAGTTTGTACAGTATTTGCATTAAGTAACTTTTTGCTTTCTGAGTGAATTTCTCTGGAGCGTGTGGAGGAGGAGCAGTTACTGTCAATGCTGTCTCCTTGCTTGCATGTCTGCTAGCTGCACAGTTTCATGATGAGAGTGATAAGACACTGCAGGGAGGGACATGGGCTGGCTGCTTTGTCTCAGCATTGCCTTGAAGGGTTCTATCACAATACCCAGCATGGATTTCAAAAGCTGTCAGATTTGCAGTGTCCCTGCTACCTACCTGACCACTACACAGAGCATTCCTTCAACACATAATATTGAAGCCTCACTTTATCTACATTTTTTTTTCCAATTTGTACTGAATTTTCTTAAACCCAAAAGTCCAGGACAGGGGGAAACCAGATCATTCACTGTTGCAAACACTGGGCAACACCTCAGCTGAATGAAGGTAGCAAATCAATACCATAATCTAATGCCTTTTGAAGCACAGAATATGGGTTTCATCCCACCTTCTTGCAGTTTACAGGCATAAAAAACTGTCACATTTTATAACTATAGGCAAGGATGGTCATTATCTGCCCCAATACAACTAGGTACCACTTACGTACAGCTATATAGAAACTTGAAGACCCGCTTTTATAAGAACTCCTAATTGCACAGCTCAAGAAAGCTCTAAGTTTTACTGCACTGTAGTTAGAACTTTTCCACCTCAAAGAGCCCTGTATAAACACTTTAAAAACTATTATGTTTACGAATGCCTCTTAGGGGTGAAGATTAGCACCTACAGCTACACTTAGCTTTGAGAGTGCTCTCTGTCAAAGAGAACTTAGTATATCCTCAAGCGTTTCCATCAATCATTTACCTTGACAATTGAAATCCTACGCAAATCAAAACTGAACCACTAACATGACCACGAAAAAAAAAAAAAAAACAATCACTCAAGTAAAAAAGTCAAAGAACTACCCTCCATCAATCTCTCCCGTACTGAGAGATCAGGACACACGCTCTCAGTTTCACCTGACTCTCTTTGGGGAACACCTGTCCGCTCCCTTTTCCTGCTCTGCATGCTTTCACAAGTGCCACGAGACCACGGGACTGAATCCACGGCGACATGAGAAGGGAGAGCCCGGGACTTACATTATTCATGTACTCGCTGAGCAGGTCCTGCAGCGCCTGCCGCACGGCGTTGCACTCGGCCACGATCCTCTCGCGCCGGTCGTCGCGCGTGCAGGACGAGTCTGCCATGAGCGCCGCGCCGCTGATGATGCTCTCCAGCCGCTCCTCCAGGGACGGCCGGAACCGCGCCTCGCTGAACGTCATGGGGTCCAGGATGATCTTATTCTGCAAGTGTGTAAAAAGGCACTTTTTAAAACACTTTATACTTTTTTTTATATACGACCAAAAGAATCAGCAGAGGAGGAGAGGTGACGGCCTTTGTACCCTGTTTCCTAAACCAGAAATCTCCGAGGCCAGGGCAAGAGCCACTGTGGAGGAAAAACTGGTTACTGAGACACATTCTCAAGTGGCCTTGGCGAAGTGTTAACTTTTTTGTAAGATATCTTGCCTTCAATGTAATCTTCAGCTTGAAAACAGCACATCTTGTTTGAAGAGTATGTTCTTGGCAAAGGCCACCTCCACGGAAGTTTTCAAATGAGACTGTGGCACTGGCTTGGCATTTTTTAAATACCTAGCCTTCAAGGAAAGCACATTTCAGTGTAGCACTTAGGGGATGACGTGAAAATTTTAGAGCTCAAACATGATATATAATCCACACCTAAGCATGCATCAGCTGTGACTTATGTACACATTACGTCCTCCTCAAGAGAAGCAGACAGTCCCCAGGTGAGATGCCTTTTGAAACCTGGGCACACAGGGTCCAACAGGAATATTCAGTACAGGTTAATTTCCCACCAGGAAATATTATCCTTTATGTAAAAGGATATGTTCTAGAAAAGGATTCATAATGTGCATGAGAGAGATTTGTCACAATTAACATGTTCTGAAGGATCCTAGATAAGGGAGGGAAATAGAGATGTTCCCTAAAAGGAAGGCATCACAGAGAATATGAGCTTAGTTTTGCCCCAGCAAAGTCTGAGGAGCCTGAGAATGTGCAGGCAGAGATGTCCAGAGGTGGAGGAAGCTATACACCCAGAATTCAGGCGATACATCAGCCTTCATAGGGATCTGGGAATTGTTAGGGGTCTTAGGACACAAAGTAGTGAATGACATACCAATGAAATGAATATAGAGCAAGAAGAGCAGACCAAAGAAAATCTTGCTAATATCAATTTCCAAGGGTAGACAGAAGGACGAGAACCGAAAAGGAAGATGGAAAAGGTAGTCAGAAATACAGCAGCAGAACCTGGAGAACTCTCAGCAAGTCAGCAGAGTGGAGCAACTGATGAATTGTGTGATAATTAACTGTGTGAAACAGACAGGCAAAGTTGACATTTCCCAAAGGCTAGTTTCCATTGGGTAACCTATTTCTGCCGTAGGAGAAGAGATCATTCCAGCAATGTTAATTAAATTAGAATGACCTGCTGCAGGAAATGGTATGCTCATCTTCATTGGAGGTATGCATTCAGAGGTCCAATAACCAGTGTCCATGATGGGGTAAATGGTCTTCCAACCTTACAATACTATGGTGCAACTGCCATTCCCTTACTGTTTTCTTTGATGTTCATCAGTCCTTAAATATTAAGCAACTTAAAAAAAATATTAGAAAAATCACAATTTACCATATGTACAAATATAATAAGAAAAGCAAATGAGAATAGTTACACTATTGCCAATCTACCACTTTCTGAAGACCTACTATGTGTCTACTATAGTGCTTAATGCTAAAACAAGGGTGGGGAGAGGAATATAAAAGACACTTTTATGATTTTTTTATTCTACTGTGGTATAAAATAACCACTTCACTGTTACAAAATAAGTCCAGCTATGTGCTCTGGGAAAGTTTATCCTAGCTCTCTAAAGCATCCTAGGGTATTTGCTGAAGGTTGTGCTCAGAGCATCTGCTCTCAGATTCTCTGATTCTTGTTAAAATGCAAATCTACATAACAGGGAGACAGATCCTTTGAGCACAAGGATGTTGAGGTCTTGAGGGAATGAGTGTAGGAAGGTTATGACTTCAAAACAAACAGGTACAGATTAAACACAGACCATGGGTAAAGTCCACTGGAATTCTATCAAAGCTCCCTCTTGAGTTTAGAAGGCAGATGCATGAGGTCTTGCAAACAAAAGACAGCTATTCTGCGCCAAGCTTTGGCATGATAACCACCTTTATTTACATTTGCATTCTCTTAAATCTTGGAAAGGGGATGAAAAAGGAATGTTTGTTTAACCCCAAAATATCCTATTTGGGCTTTGTCCCCTGTGCCTTGGTATTGGGCACAACTGTCCAGTGTCAAAAAATTCATGTAGAGGCCTCAATAGAGTGGATGTCTCTATAGGGTTTATCATTACAGGTGAGAGTCCCAAAGTAAAGCTGAGAGATGAGCACAGGTATTCCTGCCATTTGTATCGACGCTGTGTCTGTAATGTCTCTCCATCTGAATTTTCTCTCTCTCCCTCTCTCTCCCTCCCTACCCCACTTTTCTGTTGATGTATTTATGATAGATATATAGAGATAGATAGAATTTACTATGTAATATGCATTAAGAGCTGATATTCTAATTACAGAAATACCTAGTCAAAATATAATGACTATCTTCCTTATAAAGATCACTGATTGTCAAAGACCTATTTTACAGAAAACCATATTAACATAAAACATAATGAAAATTATTTGTTCTGTTTAAAGATTCTAGGAGACTCTTAAGGATCATATATTGGCTCTAGGATAAATTTTTATTATACTTGTGAATTAAAAATATAAAGAAGTACCAATTTGGTATAAATATATCAAGGTAAATTTGAACCCTTCAATAAGGGCAACAGAGAGGAATATGAATCATTAGAACATTATTTGTTAAATTATTTTCCATAGAACACTAAGCTTAAATATATAGTGTTTTGATGAAAAAATAAGGTTCCCTGGCCAAATATGTTTTGGAAATACTTCATGGCCTACAGCAAATTATCATAAGAAATGCTTTGAGACACTCTGCATTAAAGGAGTCAGTTCACTGTAGCATTTTCCAAACCTATTTGAGCACAGAAAGTGCCCCTTTTAAAATGTGTGCATTATGTATGAGAACCCAAGGAACACTCTTTGGGAAATGTGGCAAGAGAGACTTTGGAGTGTCAGCCAACTGAGTCCCCTGCCTTCCACGGCCCAGGGCTGTCGTGAAAGTAGAAGCATGAAACATTGAGCTTGACAAACTCTGCATCAAAGTTAGACTATCCATCACATTTCTAAAGATATTATTCATTATTTATAAATCATGGGGGAAAAGCTTTTTAGAAAAATCTCCCTGGAAAAGAAACACTAAATTTACAATATTCCAATCCATATCTGTGGTACAGATGGGGAACACAGCAACGATGGATATGAAAGGCGAGCAGCAAGAAGCCACTCAAGGGAGAGAAAAGGCATAAAGAGAAAGCCCAGTGCACAGAGGCCTGCAGGGGTGTAGGGGTGTGTGTGTGTGCTTGCCTATAAAAGGGAGTCTGGATTGCATGTGTGTGTATATCTCTGAAATGGTGGGTATTGGTTGTATGTGTGCACGTACATGTGTGTATGGGCAGCATATGAGTTATTTGCATGTGTGTGTGTGGACCTATGAGTCTATAAATGGGGGTGCACAGGTTGTATGCGTGAGTGGAGGAGGATGTGTGTGCACATAGATGTGCACACATGTGTATGGAAGAGGGTATGTGTTGTGTGTGTGTGTGTGTGTTTGGAGAACTTGCCAGGTCTACAACAGGGTTTAGAAAATGAGAATAGAATAAGGCAAAAACAGAACTAAATAAAGTCACAGTCTCAAGAGCCAGAAGAAAAGGCTCTCTCTACAATTCCAAAAAATACAAAAAGCAAACCTCTGGAGCTAAATCCCATGTAAAAAACTCACAGAGAATGAAAGCCCAAGTAGAGTGAGGGAAGCATATTTGATGCTGCATTATTTGAGAGTGATAAAAAAAAAAATGAAAGAAAATAGAAAAACACTGAGGCCAGTTCTCTTCCCTAAAACACTTCTGGGACATTTCAGATGAGCAAACAGTCGCTGAGCACCAGGCACTCTGCGGTCTCATTTCTCAGCGTCTCCCCTGCCTGCCCTCACCTCTCGGTGCTGCTGCCCTCTGCTGGCGGGAAGCAGCGGCGCGTTGTTGTCATCCAGATCCAAACTCCACTCCCTAGTCTCTGAGTGAGGATTTCACCTGGGCCGCGCGCAGCACCAGTGAAAGGACAGAGCCCAGGCTACCCGCATCTCCCCGTATGGCACAAGTGTACTCCTGTGAGAGGATCTTACGCTGTTTCCAATTGTACTGACTTTTTTTTTTTTGTCCACTAAGACTGTACATTTTAAAATCTCTATTTTTGCATTCATAAAACTCATTTAATCTTTTTATCTTTTTGATCTTTTAGTTCCATCTTACACTGTCATTTTAGTTCATTTTTAAAATTGTGGGCTCACATTTCTTGTTTTATCTTTTTTAAAACAAAAAAAATTTTTTTAGCTAACTTTTCTTTTTATCTTATCTATTTGGCTTGCATAATAGTTTCTGCTTTATTACTTTTACTTATTTTTATTAACATCTTTACTTAAAAAATATATTGTTTTCATTCTTACAGTTATGGAGCAGCGATGGGAATGCAGGGCTATAAAGACAGCGGCCGCGATAATTCACCTCGAGTGAAGGAAGCTCAGCTCCTATTCTGCCATCAAGTCGGTGCTGTAACAGTTTCTCTAGTCTCACATAATTGATCTCCCATTTTCTCTAATGCTGAACTCTATAAAAATTTTAACCTGAAATAATTCAGAAAACCATGTAGTTCCAAACTACTTCCCGGACTCATACATTTCCCTGTACTCACCACATATGCAATTGTTAAAAGAGCAGTGCTTTTAAATTGCTCATACCGTTCATTCGCTCTACAAAAAGTTACGTGATCTAAAAATTTCAGTACAATCACAGGACATTGAGTTAGCTCGATGCAGGCTCTGACACAGCAGGAGAAAGCAGAGAGACCTTTGTCAAAGCAAGAAGTTGAATGTATCACAAATGGTCCGATGGGTCCACAATTCTGTGTCCTCGATCTCACCATCTCCATTTCCCTGAACAGGAAAATGATGCCGGAGATGTTGTCCCACACTCATTCAGCCCCTCAATGAGAACACCAGAATTTGAACGCAAGTCTTTTGACTTTAAGCTTGGTGTTCCTTCCACTGTACGAG